AAGCAACAATTAAGATCTCCATTGTCGACGAGCCCAATGGCCACCTTGTCTTCACTTGGTGAATCGCACCACAAAAGTTCATGACGGAATCACTCATGGTGTACCATCGATGCACTAGAGACTTCACATTGCGTTCAAGGATGACTTGCATGTCGTAGGGCGAGTGCCGAAACGTCGGCTCGAAAGATGCGGTCCTTATTCATGCCTACAAAGTCCTCAGAAACGGTCAACCACGCATCACACAACAACTCATCCTCAATGGACGAGTACCCCACCATCGTGCTTCTCTAGAGAACAACAAGAAGTTTAAAAAAAAAGCTAAATGTCATTTGACCGAACACCCGCCGGGCGTGGTGTCCGTCATGGACGGCGTCGACAATGCTGTGGAGGGTACCTGGCTGCAAAGGGATTCCCGGTGGACACTAGCATAGTTCAAGGCGGGCAGGCGCGTGAGTGGGGTTTGTGAACATCCGAGGATGCCTGGGCGACGACCGAATAGGTACAGTGGCGGCGTCTGACGAGGAGGGTTCAAATGAAAGGAGGGGGAGGGGGGAGGGGGGTGTAGAAGTGGAGTGAAAGAAAAGGGACGGATAGGGGGATTTCAATGGGGCAGGGGTGGCAGAGTCCTACATGGCTGGTGTCCGGACTCCCGCAAAGCCCTTTAAATTTGCCTCTAGTTTGCGAGAAAATGAACGTCCGGACCGATCTGCGGACAGATGAGGTACCGTATTGGATGACAGAACATGTTTGAACAACTCGGTCCAAAAAGAGGTGGGTGGTTTTAAGGATAATCGTTGGAGATGCCCCTATACTATTGCATGAGCTGTCGCACGTGATTCAGATCATCTAAGCTGTTCTGAGGTACCGTATTGTTTTCAGTTTAGCTTTTCTCATAAATCAGACATATAAAATATTGCGTCCCGATTGCACTCCCTGTTCCCTTTAGTTGAAAGAGGCCAAGATAAAAGATCGGATCAGATATGATGTACTTCTGGTGCTTAAAATAGCCTGGCATTATTTTCCATCGTTGCTGGAAGTTCAAGAGGAACATCGATCTCCATCACATAGTGCGAGCTCAACCCCACCTTTGTGAAAATATAAGAATAATCAAGATATGCTAGTTGTTGGATAATAAAGTGATATCGCCTGCAGATCACTCATCCTATTGTGCTGTACCTTTCCACAGAGCAAACACGTACGCACTAATCATCGAAAGAGTTGGCGAGCTGCACGATGGGTGCTACTGTTTGTGAGTAGTGTTGATTCAGCAGAGATCTTGGCCATCAAGTATGGTCATTACTTGGCAGCGAGGATCGGATGCAACGTTGCTCACATTTATAGTTCAATGAGAAACAATGCTTTCTCGATCTACGATACGTTGCCGATGGTTGCGGTGGAAATGTTTGGGAAATGAGGAGGGACGGGGCCCTACTCGTAGCTGCAGTCGACTTGTCTTGGGTTCTACACCATACAGATACAGGGGCACGTGAAGTGTATGCCAGGAACAGTGACTGGACAATGGCCGAACATTTGGCTGGGACTGAAAAATAGTAAAGAGTACTGACGGCCTGCAATTCTTAACTTCAATCAGCCTGCAAGCACAACACATTGGCACATATACTCTGAAATGTCAGTTTCAAAATGTCAGCTATCCTGGGTTGTAGGCCCGGCTCTCTTTGGTTCTTAAATGATGCTGTCTTCAAGCATGCCCACGACGCCATTAGAGGTGTCCATAATTGGTTCCTTAGAGCAACTCCACCCAAACGGATGGGTCCTTTGTCGCTTTTTGTCCGTTTGGGTCGGCCAGGCGGACGTGCGCGTTCGCATTTTAAAATGAGTCGGCTTGACCGTCTAACGGAGAGGCCGACCCAAATGTGCCGTCATAAAAAAATAATAATAAGTTACATGAAATAAACATAATTAAATATAAAGTGGCCGGTTAAACGTCGGCCAAAGTTCATCTAAATCTAATAAACATTAAATAAAACATTACAAAAAGTCTGCGCCCGCCTGCTGCCGCCCGACACGCTGCCCTAGACATCGTTGGCCTTGCTCTTGCCCTTGCCGTCGACGTCGCCGTCGTCGGTGAGGTCGATGAAGACCGGAGCAGGGCCAGCCCACCCGAACGCCGCCTGGTACCCTGCCAGGGCAGCCTCCTCCGGCGTCTGCTGGGGCGGCGGCATTGCGGCAAGCCGTGCACGCTCCTTCTCCTCCTCCTCCTCAAGCCGAAGCGCCTCCGCGTCGTGTTGGAGCATGGCGTTGTAGCGCATCTGCTCCTCGCCGTCGGCCTGCTCCTGGCGGAGCCAGTGCTCCTTCCATGCTCGAGGTGGGCCGTCTCCTCCTCCGGCGTCGCGGCGAAGTGGACGGGAGGCGCGCTCACCCACTCGCGGTACTGATCCGTCCACAAGTAGGCCTCCTCCGGCCAAGTGGATGGAGGCGGGGAGCGCTTACGCGTCGGCTCCGGCTCCGGCTTGGGCTGGACGAGCGGCGACGATGGCGGTGGCGGCACGAAGAGCGGGGTGTGGACAGAGTCCCCCGCTGCCGATAGGGCAAGGGCTTGCTCCAGCCCATCCCAGTGCGTGTCCTCCTCGAGGAGGCTAGCCTCCAGCGCGTGCTGCAGGGTCTACTCGAGGGCGGCTTGGTACTCCGCCTCCGCCTTCATGTCCTCCGGCTCTACCTGCGAGGGCGGCGGTGGGAACGGCGGCGGGACGGTGTCGACACCCGAGCGCCGTTGCTCCTCGTGTTTGAGGGCGAACCACACCTCCCAGTTGGGGGAGTCGGCGGCGTACTCTGGCAGCCGACGCTGCTCCGGCGTGAGCTGCGCGCGGCGCCTGCGCACCTCATCGTCGTGCGCCCGTTGGGTACGAGAAACCGCCGGCATCGGGATCCGCTGCGGATCCAGATGCCAACGGTGCGGCAGCGTGACATCGGGGTACGACAATGGCTGCATGTACTCCCAGTGCCACCGCGCTTGGTGCACCGGAATGTGCAGGCGCCGGCGACCAGGGCGGAAACGCGTCGCCGCCGGAGGAGGAGGAGGGGAAGGGGAGCACGGGAGGACGAGGCGCCGGGGGTGCCCTTGCCCTTGCCCTTGCCATTGCTGTTGCCGAAGAGGCCCATGGCTAGGGTTTGCGGTCGCCGACGAGGAAGCAAAGGGAGTAGGGGGGGGAGGGGGCAGATGTGGACGGAAGAAGTGGATGAGGCCGACCCCGCCGCACGCGTGGTTAAAAAAGGACGCTTCCACTGGCTGACGCGTGGGCCCGCCGTCGGTGGTCGTCATAAATAAGTCGACCGGTGGTGGTTGGGTGGCCATCAGGTGAGGACGCGGCGGACGACGAAAAATTTGGGTCGGCCCGGACGTCAGCGGACACGATTTGAGTTTGGGTCGGCGCGTTGGGCCGCCACTTTTGTCCGCGCCGACCAAAATGGATACGGACGGACGAAATGTGTCGCCCCATTAAAGTTGCTCTTAGCTGCCAGAAGGCCCATTGGTTGTCCGGGTGCGAATGGGTATCTTTAGGGTATCATGCGGCTTTTTTTAGTTCACCACATGAACTCGATTTTTAAAGCTGCTTGTCTAAGAAACAATATTTGTGTTCTCCTTGATTGCACATGGAAAAATGGCAATGCCTTGATTAGGTTCTGGTCACCTCAATGTCAGGATTTGTGATTGCTAACCGCACCTGGCGCATAGTAGTTTCTGGTTACCGAAGACAAAAAGCTTTCTTGTTATAGAAGACACAAAGCTTACAATGACGCAATGATTTTGGTAATTCTTTATTTAATGTTTAAATGCTGTTTTACGATCAAAGTGTGGAAATCTACGACTGGCTGAGAATGCAATCGACAAGCCCTTCATTGAGCGACCTTCAGACAGTCAAACAATGGTGGACTTCTAGTGAGGGTTGGCCTCGCTACTTCAGAAAGGAGACTAACTCCTTACATATGCTCATATGTTCGGAGATTTGGAATGAGCGACACTCTCGGGTTTTTCCTGACAAGGCCTCCGTACCGACGAGGGTGGCTGCGGTCTGCACGTTGCAGGAGGAAGCGGAGCGACTCCTTCGCGAGTGTCAGTCAACAGTCGGGCATGGCTGCCGCGTCCTTGCACCCTTCCGCCGCTAGAAGGACAGTGACGACGACGATGACGATGGTGGTGTTGCCGGCCAGGGCGGCCATGTCTACAAGGTCACCGTCCGCTCCAAGTTAGTGTTGTTTTTTTAGTTTCTAGTTGAACTGAAATGCCGTTCGTTTTATGTATTAATATGTCCGAATTTAAGTGAATTCCCGCATGTTTACATGAAATTTGTCCGGTTTTGTTCTAACCCGGTTTAAAATGTATGCGGGCATGGTTGAATAGCCAACTTCGACATCAGTGTGTCGTTTTACGAGTTTTAGGAGATGCCCTAATGTTTTTCTAAGAAGATTGTCATCTGGAAACTAGTATTTTTTTCGTGAGCCCTGGCATGTACTCCCTTTGCTTCTTTTTATCCCGCGTATAAAGTTTGGTCGGGGTCAAACTACACGAAGTTTGATCAAATTTATATAAAAAATATGAACATTTACAATGCTAAAACTATATAGTATGAAAATACATTTCATGGTGTATCTGATAATATTGATTTCATATTGTGAATGCTGATATTTTTAATATAAAGTTAATCAAATTTTATAAAGCTTGATCTTGACCTAATATTTTATACGGGGACTAAAAAAACGGAGTGAGTACGCAGGGGAATAAAGCCGGCCTTTGGTTGGGCGAGCGATATCGCCCCTCGAAGCATCCGTCCTCCCTGTTGTGCTCTCTCTCTCTCTCTCTCTCTCTCTCTCCATTGCTCAGTACCATCCCACCTCTCTCCCTCTCACCTAAAAGTCTTGTGCCAGAGATTTGAAAAGATCACACAGACCACTAGCTTTTAGGCGCTTGCCTTGCCTGCGAGTTGCTGTGAGCTGCTGAACACTTTGCCCAACCCTCCTTCTGCTCCATTTTCTAGGCAGCCATGGAAGCAGCAGATGAGGAGAAGCCCCTGCTTAATGCACAGACCAATCCTCAGGTAAATCTCTCGCCTCCTCTTCTTTTCTCTCATCGAGATGATCATGAGAGTAATCTCTTCAGTTAGGAGGAAGAATACGAGTAATTCCGATCTTCTCCATCCTGTGCAACTTAGATATTTTTGTACTGTACTGCAGGATGTAGGTTCAGAATATACCAGCGATGGTTCAGTCGATATCAACAAACGGCCTGCTCTGAAGGGAAGTACAGGCCGTTGGAGGGCATGCTACATGATTTTAGGTGATACTATCAAAATTCGGACAGCAATTCATGCAAACTGTACTCGTGTCCATCTACTCCTTTTCTTACATGCTACTTGAACGCATCCTAGGTGTTGAGTTCTGCGAATGCGTGGCCTTCTTCGCGGTCTCGAGGAACTTGGTAACCTATCTCACCACCGTGCTCCACGAAAGCAAAGTCGCCGCCGCGAGAAATGTCTCCGCCTGGGTCGGCGCCAGCTTCCTCACGCCGCTCATCGGAGCCTTCTTGGCCGACACCTACCTGGGAAGATACTGGACAATAGTTGCTTCCCTCCCAGTCCACATCCTTGTAAGTTCTAGTACACAAGATAACGATCAACAAACCTCTTAGTTGCAAGTTGCAACTCTGATAAACACTTGATTCTGTCAGGGAATGCTGGTCCTCGCAGTGTCAGCATCAGCCCCAGCATCTTCCTACAGCGGCGGCGAGGTTCATCGCACCATGGTGTACGCGGGGCTCTATCTCGCCGCGCTCGGCGGCGGCGGCATCAAGCCCTGCACGTCGACCTTCGGGGCCGACCAGTTCGACGGCGCCGACCCGGCGGAGCTGGCCAAGAAGGGCTCCTTCTTCAACTGGTACTACTTCATGATCAACCTCAGCTCCCTCCTGTCGAGCACGCTGCTTGTCTGGCTGCAGGACAATGTCGGGTGGGGGGTCAGCTTCGCGATCCCGACGGCGCTCATGGCCTTGGCCCTCGCAGTGTTTCTTGGTGGCTCCAGGGTGTACAGGTTTAGAGAACCCACAGTGAGCCCCTTCACCAGCCTCTCCCAGGTGGTCGTCGCGGCCCTCAGCAAGTGGCGTATGCAGCTGCCGGACGACGTCTCCCTTTTCCACGAGCTCACCGGTTCGTCTGAATCAGGCCACATGATTCAGCATACGAGTCAGTTCAGGTACTTCAGATAATGTCTAGATGTTCATTTGGAAACAAACATTTGCACTGAGACAACTATCCGATTGTAATCTTCAGATTCCTCGACAAGGCTGCCATGATGCTGCCCCACTCGGACAAAACATGCGTGGCGCCGCCGACGAGTTCTTGGAGGCTCTGCACGGTGACACAGGTCGAAGAGCTCAAGATACTGCTGCGGATGTTCCCCGTCTGGGCATCTTTCGTGATCTTCCACGCCGTCACCGGCCAGCTGTCGTCGACGTTCATCGAGCAGGGGATGGTCATGGACAACCGCGTCGGCGGGTTCGCCATCCCGCCCGCCTCCCTCTCCATCTTCGGCGTCTTCAGCGTGCTCGTCTGGGTGCCCGTCTACGAGACCGTGCTGGTGCCGCTCGCCCGGCGCTGCACCGGCAACGTCAAGGGCTTCTCGCAGACGCAGCGGCTCGGGGTCGGCTTCGCGCTGTCCGCGCTGACCATGGTCTACTCGGCGGCGCTCGAGACGAAGAGGCTGGCGGTCGCGCGAGCCAGCGGCCTGGCCGGGCAGAACGTGCCGGTGCCGATGAGCATCCTGTGGCAGGCGCCGTCGCACGTCCTGCACGGCGCGGCGGGGGCCTTCGCCGGCATCGGCATGACGGAGTTCTTCTACGACCAGGCCCCGTGCGCCATGAAGAGCCTCTGCGCGGCGTTCGCGCAGCTCTCAATCGCGTCCGGGTTCTACTTCAACACGGTTGTGCTCAGTGTCGTGGCGGCGGTCACCACGCGTGGCGGGGCGCCTGGGTGGATCCCAGACAACCTCAACGAAGGGCATCTCGACTATTTCTTCTGGATGATGGCTGCTCTCAGCTTACTCAACCTGGCGCAGTTTGTGCACTACTCCATGCGGTGTAGAGAGAAGACAGCTTCTTCACCCTAAATAGTGGACACTTGACACGAGTTTAAAGTTTAAATCCTCTTCTATATGATGATCACAATAAAGTAAGCCTCTTCCATCATAGTGATAGATAATCCCAAATGATAAGTGCCACAGTTTGCATGAAGCACTTCACCCTGACAGTTTTTACAACTAGATATCTGTACTGAAAAAATTTAGACCTATCAATCTGCACTGAACGGACATGCTAGATATCTATCCCGTCCCGTACAGTAAACGTCTCTTCGGCATTGAACAGGCACAGACAAATGAGACGCGACGCTGGCGGCGCTCGCGCGTTGCTTCAATGCCAGTGACAGTGAGGGCTGCGTCCGCTCCAGGCCGGCGTCAATGCAGAGCGACCCTACAGCTGGATGAATGCGGGCAGCTGGCGCCGGGCAGGAAAGCATGCGAGCGAGGGAGAAGGGTTTAGGGCGGGCCAGGTTTGTCAGTCGTGGGCGTGGAAGCGGCTCGGATGCCCACAAAGCTCCCCTTCCCCAGTTTGCAAAAAAAATGCGTTCGGACTGGCCTGCGAATCGATACAGGACCGTGTTGGATGATAAAATATGTCCGAACCACATGATTCAGATGGGTGCGGGCGGTTTGAGTGTCTGTGTTGTAAATGCGCTAACAATGCAATGCTACAGCCATAAATCGATCTCATGGACTGTAGCAGTGATGAGCGCCGTGTTCCTTCCTTTTTTCACTTGATTAAACATTGGCCTTCCATATGTATCCTAGTTCCCACGATCAGCGGCAGCACAAGCCGTTAGGGGAGCAACAAATGAAGTCTGATTCGTAAGCACACAATGATTTGATTCGTAAGAACAGAACGATTTGATTCATGTATTGATTTGGTTCGTGTCACCCATTCCTGTTAGTAGCACATGGTGAGAGAGAGAGAGATGGGATGACCTAAGCAATTTAGGTTCGTTGCATGTGCAGCGATCGGCCTTCAGCCGGTGTGATATACCTCCGTCCGTAAATATTTGTCGCAAAAATGAATGTATCTAGATGTGTTTTTAGTTTTAAATACATCAATTTCAATCCATTCTTACTGCAAGTAATTTAGAACGGAGGGAGTACTACTAGAACGGAAAAGAGAAAATGAGAAAGGCCTTCTTGGTTCATAGGATAGGAATTTTATAAGAATAGAAAAATCATAGTAAGTGAGATGACATGCATTTCAATTCCTATAGAGAAAGAGATACTATTTGGTGCATAGGATAGGAATTTTTTAATTGAGTCTAGGCTAATGTTTTTTTCCCTTCAAAATGTGAAGAATTGATTCCTATCCTATATACGAACAGGAATCCATTCCCATAAACCAAAGGGTTTCAATTTGTTTTCCTTTACAAATCCTATTCTATAGAGTTTCTATAAAATTCCTACAAAAGACGACCTATTATAGTGACTAGCAGAACGCCCGTGCGTTGCTACGGGCTATCCGCAATATCTGTAACATCCGGGTTCAACACAAAAACCCTATCCAATGATGCACCTTCCCTTTTTCTGTCGGAACCTCTCATTCTTGACCGATTTTCCGCCGTAGCGAGACATTTCTCGTTTTTTCTCTCACTGGCGCCACCTCCATTAAAAGCATATGACAGCCAACTCATCTTCGCCATGCATTGCAGTAAGGATGAAATTTTCTTGTTTACGATATAATAGAGTGGGTTAAACTAACACATACTATTAACACAAAACAACAAATAACTACAGAGATCTTTCCTAGTCACCAATAAGCTCCACCTCCATCCATATGCTAGAAGGGATAATTGTCGTTCTTCTCTTCTTCATATTTCCCTACGTCTTCTACTCCATGCCTCTTCGCCAATCCGTTTAATTGGCACCAACCAGCACCACGTCAACATTAATGTGTTCATCATCGATGCCTCATCTTCTTCTTTCTCATTTCTCGGCAACTTTAGTTCTCGTTCCTACTTATTTCCTAGAATACTCTTTCTTTCTTTTTGTTTCTCTTATTATTTGGAACACTCTTACTTTCTCCAACACCATGCACCACTTTGGCTTCAGTTCTTTTTTCTTCCTGTTTTTGGAACACTCTTCCTTTTTTACTATAGCATGAACCACCTAGCTAGTGTTGTGTCATGTTGTCCTCACCCGCGAACATTTCGGCCACCGTCATCGAGTGGACATCCCGCGGAGCATAGACTTCATCCATCTTGGTGAATGCTAGGTCGCCCATGTCGCGAGCGCATGGTGGCCGGTGTCCATGTTGGCAAGCGGTGCTCGGTGGTTTGCAATGTAACTGAGAGCCCGTTGATTGTTTTTGCCCACAAGCGCTTTCAAAATGATTCACCATGACTAATTGCTTGCTTAATTAATTAAGTACACAAAAAATGAATGCCTAATTAATTGCCAACCAAATGAATTAATTATCTGACTAATTGCCAATCAATACAGAAACCCTGTCCCATGACACACCCTTTCTTTTTCCTAATAGAGCCCTCTCCTTTAAAATTGAGTGATGCCCCTCGCTCTCCGCCCTAATCCCCTCCCCTTGTGTATGTGCTGATCCACCACCAAAGCGTGCACCGAGTCCGTGCGGATTCCTAGTTCTTTCATCTCTATGTTCGATCAGATATTGGATTACAAAGATCCATCGTGAGTTGTAAGAAGCCAATTAGCAAGTTTAAAATGGACCAAAAGTGAATTTATTCACATAGTGCTGGATGCCCATGTGTTGCCACATGCTAACAAAACTATATGTACAACAAGAAATGTGCTAACAAAATGTTTTTACAAAAAGAAAGGCTGTGTGATATGAGTCATATACTATTTACATGTGATGATATCTCATGCTCATGATGTGGTAGATAAATGCATCTCCTCGTCATCTTCATGCCCCTCCCTCTTCTCAGCCACCACATGACACGCCACTTCCTCCCACAATTCTTCTTCTTGTTGTTTTCTTCCCCCACCTCCACCTTGCATCAAAATATTAAATGCCTAAGCTGTGGAACAGTACAACCAGAGAAAATAGCAGTCAAAGGGAGGAATTAGCTAGTTAGATTGTAGATGCATGCATGAGTCAGCCGGCGCAAGGGAAGTTGCGCGGAGCGCCATGACGAACTCGGAGTCTAGGCCCGAGCCGTTACGCCTCGGCGGCAGACAGGGGCCAGCACAGCCGCTGCCCGCTGGGTCGCTACTCGCTAGTGCCCACCGCGCTGTTGAATCCGCCGCTGATTGTAGCCACTGCATACAGTGTTCGCGCCGCCATGATGGTGCCCGACGAGGACGGCACAGGGCGGCGGAGTCGTGCATATCCAGCGGTGAGATCGAACAGTGAGGCGAGGTGACCGGCAGCGAACGGGCAGGGCCTGCGGCGTCGGCTGCAGATCTCCTGGAACAGAAAAAAAAAGAGAGAGGTAGAGACCGAGGAAGGAGAGGTAGGGCGCAGGAAGAGGAGAGGGATACTGGTGTCCATCGCGAGGCCTCCGTTGTCTACCGGCAAACCTCCATGGCTAAGGTAAGGTGCACCTACACCCGTAACACACCAGCATGACCGGACGGTGAACGGGTTCACGTGACGAGCGCGGGGCTGGCAATCACCATTTCCTGGTCCTCCTCGCTGATGCATAACGGGCACGCATCGCTGCCTGGGTCGCTCACCATGAAGAAGAAGATAGGGTGGAGGAATTGAGCGAGGGATGAGGAATCAAGCGGCTTGTACGGCAGGGGGCCAAACCATGATAAAAATCAGTACAACCCGTGCGAGGTGGAGAACGAAATGACTTACCTATAGCTCATGATTCGATTGAGATGATAGGGAAATAACCGGTAGACGTGGAAATAACCGGTTGCCGTACAAGTTTATTTCCACGTCTCTTGCCGACCCAGTGAGTGAGTGATGCTGACGGCGCAGCAGGCAGCTCCAGGAGCATCGTCTCCATCCGCCTTCCTTGTCCGTTTAGCACGTTGTAGCCTAGCTTAGCTTAGTAGCTAGTAGAGACTAGTTTAATTTAACAAGATGCCGCTCATTTTCTAACGAGAGCGTAGTAGGAGATACGAATCTGCTGCCGCATTCGTCTTCCTCTTGAGGAAAACAAGTCTCATCCGCCGCATCCGTCGTCACTCAGGTCTCTCTCGCTGTTCAGCTCAACGTGGAATCAGAAGAAGAAAAAGTCAGCTTGTTCTCCTGCCATTTGTACAATTACGCTGAAAATTACATCATGTGTTTTTTGCTTCTCATGATAGACCTTCTCTTTTCTTTCTCTTTTTGTATTGTCCAATCACTCTACACAACGGGGTCTCTAGATAACAAGTTCCTGATAGCTCCGCGTACACAGAATTCTTCTCAGGAACTTCCTAAGAGCACTTCTTCTGAAGACTACACCGAGAGAGAGAGAGAGAGTGTCAGATGGAAGCAGCAGATGAGGAGAGCCCACTGCTGAGCCATCCCTGCCTGCGTCCACAGCCACAGGTGATGGATTTTTCTCTGCTCAACCATGCATTATCCCTGCTGTCCAGTTGGTATCCTAAGTGCGGAAATTGGTAACCAAATTTATAGCCTCTGCATTGTTGTTCAGGACGAATATTCAAGGTACACGAGCGATGGAACGGTTGATGTCAACAGACAGCCTGCTCTCAAGCACAGCACCGGCAACTGGAGAGCATGCTTCTTCATTCTAGGTGCTCCACAAAACTTCTTCATGCTCCACATTTTGTCATTTTCCATACAGGAGGAGTAACATGTTGAGCCTTGGACCTAAATCAGGCGCCGAATTCAGCGAATGCTTGTGCTTCGCCGCCGTCGCCAAGAACTTGGTCACCTACCTCACCAGTCACCACGGTGCTCCACGAGAGCAACGTCGACGCCGCGAGGAACGTCTCCACCTGGGTCGGCAGCTGCTTCCTCACGCCGATACTCGACTGTTGCAGTGTTCCTCTCTGTCTACATCTTTGTAAGCCGAGACAACCAGAATGCTATCAGACCACCTTAATCTGCAACGTTTCTGAAGTTACTGTACAAAAAATTCTGCGCAGCATTTCTGAAACTTTTTCATTGACAATGTGCCAGGGGATGTTCATCATGACCTCATCGCCGGCGCTTCCGTGGCTCCTGCCTCGTTCCTCCGACGAGAGCGGCGGTGTCCATCGTGCCGCCGTCTACCTGGGGCTCTACCTTGTCGCCCTCGGCACCGGCGGAATCAAGCCCTGCGCCACGGCCCTGGGCGCGGATCAGTTCGATGGCGCCGACCCGGCGGAGCGGGTGGCCAAGGGCTCCTTCTTCAACTGGTACTACTTCTCCATCAACATCGGCTCGCTGCTGTCGGCGACGTTGCTCGTCTGGGTGCAGGACAACATCGGGTGGACCGTCGGGTACGCAATCCCGACGGTGCTCATAGGATTCGGCCTCGCCGTGTTCGTCTCCGGTGGGAAGATTTACAGGCACAAGCCACTGGGGGTGGGAGGTAGCCCACTGACAAGGGTCTGCCAGGTGGTCGTCGCTGCCGCGAGGAATTGCCGTCTCGAGCTGCCCGATGACACCTCGGCCCTGCACGAAAATGGCATGGCTCAGCACACCAGGCAATTCCGGTTCTTTGACAAGGCCGCGATCGTGCTGGTGTCGTCGGAGAAGAAGGGCCCGTGGCGGCTCTGCACGGTGTCGCAGGTGGAGGAGCTAAAGATGCTGCTGCGGATGTCACCCGTCTGGGCATCGATGCTCGTCTTCTTCGCGGTCACCGCGCAGATGTCAACCACGCTGATCGAGCTTGGCATGACCATGGACAACCGCGTCGGCGGTTTTGTCGTGCCGCCGGCATCGCTCTCCACATTTGACCTCGTCAGCGTCCTCATCTGGGTTCCCCTCTACGACGCCGTGCTGGTGCCGCTCGCACGGCGCGTCACCGGCGAGCACAGGGGATTCACGCAGCTGCAGCGCATTGGCGTCGGCCTCGCGCTGTCCGCGGCCGCCATGGCGTACGCCGCGTCGGTCGAGACGAGGCGGCTGGCGTCGGCGAGCTCGATGAGCATCATGTGGCTGGCGCCGTGCTACTTCGTGCTGGGCGCGGCCGAGGTGTTCACCAGCATCGGCATGCTCGAGTTCTTCTACGATCAGTCCCCAGTGTTAACAGATAGCCTAATTATTGTTTAGATATTCTTGATATCTCTAAGAGATCTCGGCCTGATCTTGCTATTCTTCTTGTGCAAGACATGAGCTGTTTGTAAGGCTATTTATATCAACTATTCCAATCAATGAAATCAGTTGCCCCAAACCGAGATTACTCTTGCCGTTCGTAGTTTAGGCTCCTTCATGGTATCAGATACTTAGATCGCATCGCATCCTCTCCAGCTTCCGCCGCCACCTTCCCTCCCTCCGCCATGAGCTCGATCGGCTACACCTCCGCCTCCTCGGACTCCGACGACGATGTCTTCGAACAGTTCGGCATCCCCGTCGCAACTCAAACCCTTCCCACCCCGTAGCTGCAGGCTCTCCGCATCCGTGATCACGTCCTCGTCACGTTGGATTACGAGAAGGAGAACTACGGCATCTGGAGCCGCCAATTCCTCACCGCCCTCTCCAAGTTCGGGCTTCGGGATCACATCGACGACTCCCCCGCCCAGGGCACCTCCGACTGGGTGCTCAACGACTTCGCCATCGTCTCGTGGTACGACGCCACGGTCACGACCTCCACTCTGGCGATCGTGGAGCCGCGCAACGCCACCGCCGTCTCTCTTTGGCGCGCCATCCGCAGCGTCTTCCGCGACAATCGCGACACGCGCGCCATCTACCTCCGCGACGAGTTCCACAGCTTCAATCAAGGCGACCTCTCTGTCGTCGAGTACACCTCCAAGATGAAGGAGATGGCCGACATGCTTGGCGACCTTGGCTCTCGCGTCCGTGATCGCGACCTCGTCCACAACGTCCTTCGCGGCCTCAACGAGCAACTGCAGCACGCCGTCCCGCATGTGACGCGCGGTCGCCTGCCGTCCTTCATCAAGCTCCGCAACTTCCTGCTCTTGGAAGAGCGGCGCCTCGGCCGCCGTGCTCGCATCGTCGCCCACAACGCCCTCCTCGCCCAGGCGCACCTCGCGTCTCAGGCCGCCGGCGCTCCCCTGCCGGCCTACACCAACCCCGCTCCGCCTTCCTACTTCAACCCGACGCCAGCGGGCTTCTACGGTGCAGGCGTTCCCCACGCCGGCCCTCCCAATGCTCCCGGTCAGGGCAAGAAGAAAAAGAAGAAGGGGGCCGCTCCCAGCGCCTCGGCTTCGTTCGCCCCTCCCGCCGCGGGCACGCGTTCACCTGCTCCGCACCCGCCTGCGCCTGCCATCGCTGGCACGTTCCAGGCCTGGGCGGGTCCCGGCATCCTCGGGGCCGCTCCTGGCGCACGTCCGCCTGCCCCGGCCGCTCCCCACGGCCTCGCCGTCCACGCCGCGCCGGCCGCTCCTCCGGCCGCCCCTCCGCCCCAGTGGGATCAGTCGGCCCTCATCGCCGCGCTGAACCAGATGGCCCTCCAAGCGCAAGCAGGACAAGGCAGCGAGTGGGTCCTCGACAGCGGTGCTTCCTCTCACATGGGCTCCGGTTCTGGTATACCACTCTCCCCTCGCCCTCCCAATTTTCCTTCTCATATCATTGTCGGTGATGGCTCCTTTCTTCCTATCACCGGTACTGGTTCTGTTCACTTTCGAACACCCATTCGCTCTCTCTCCCTTCTAAACATTCTTATTTCTCCTAAACTCATCAAAAATCTAGTGTCTGTCCGTGCTTTTACACGCGATAATTTTGTTTCCATTGAATTTGACCCTTTTGGTTTCTCTATCAAGGATTTGGCAACGGGGCGGGTTATTCACCGATGTAATTCCACCGGCGACCTCTATCCCTTCGTGCAGACGCCCCAATGCTTCCTCGCCACCGTCTCCGCGACTTTGTGGCACCAACGGCTTGGACACCCCGGCGTTGAAGCTTTGGCCAATGCATCCAAATATTTTAAATTCAGTTGTAATAAAAGTTTACCCACGCACTGCGATGCATGTCGTTTGGGTAAACACACTAGACTCCCTTTTGCTTCCTCTACCACCAAAACATCTGTTGCTTTTGAGCTTTGTCATTGCGATTTATGGACTAGTCCTGTATTAAGCATCTCAGGTTTTCAATATTATCTTGTTATATTGGATGACTTTACCCACTTCACTTGGACGTTTCCTATTCGTAATAAGTCTGAAGTTCATGCTCTTCTTGTGGCGTTCTATGCATATGTTCGCACATAGTTCTCATCCTCCATTAAAGCTTTTCAGACCGACAATGGACGAGAATTCGACAACACTGCAAACCACGCTCTGTTTACCGCCCATGGAACTCTTCTTCGCCTCACCTGCCCATACACCTCCCAACAAAATGGCAAGGCCGAACGTATCCTTCGTACACTCAATGATGGTGTCCGCACTCTCCTTATACATGCATCCATGCCATACCCATGGTGGGCTGAGGCTCTCGCCACCTCCACATACCTTCTCAATCGCCGCCCATGCAAAGCCAACATCATTACCACTTCCTACGAGCTTCTTCACGGTCGTGCCCCCGATTTTAAGTCTCTTCGCGTGTTTGGCTGCCTGTGCTATCCCAATCTTACTGCCACCGCACCTCACAAACTCGCACCCCGTTCTACTCCTTGCGTTTTTCTCGGCTATCCGGACGGGCGCAAAGGGTATCGCTGCTATGATCCACTGACTCGGCGCATTATTTTCTCACGACATGTTACCTTTGTGGAAAAAGTGTTTCCTTTCAGCTCCCTGGACTTCAGCATCGCCCCGGCATCTCCATCACGTAACAGCCACGACGCTCCTCCGGCTTACGACGATCATATGGCGCCCCCTGCATGCCACAGTAACGGGCCATGCAGTCCGCTCCCGCGCGGATCGTCCTTGGGCCGCTCTTCTTCACCATCCACGGCTCGCGGCTCGGCCTCCTCAGCTCGCGGCTCCGCGCCTCTGACGCCCGACGCCGGCTCAGCCCGTGGCTCGGATTCTTCGGCTCGTGGCTCGGCTTTGGCACGCGGTTCTGCATCCCTGACGCTGGACGTCTGTGCTACGCCCGACGCCGTGCCTTCCAGCTCGGCGCCTGCTTCGTCGCCTCCCCGCCACCGCATGGTCACTCGCGCTCGGCATGGCGTCTTCAAGCCGAACCCTCGCTACGGCCTTGTCGCCACCACGACGGTGTCGCCCCTCCCATCCTCCGTCCGGGAGGCTCTCCGTGACTCCAACTGGCGCCAGGCGATGCAGGAGGAATTCGACGCCCTCTCGTCGAACACCACCTGGACGTTGGTCCCTCGGCCTCCCCACACCAACGTCGTCACCAGCAAATGGGTCTTCCGGCACAAGACCCGCGAGGACGGCTCCCTCGAGCGGTACAAGGCACGCTGGGTCGTTCGTGGTTTTGCCCAACGTCCTGGTGTCGACTATGGCGAAACTTTTTCGCCGGTGGTCAAACCGGCAACGATTCGCACTGTGCTCCCTTTCGCGTCCTCCCGTAACTGGCTTGTGCACCAGTTGGACGTGAAGAATGCCTTCCTCAATGGCATCCTCGACGAACAGGTCTACTGCTACCAGCCGGCCGGTTCTGTCGATGCTCATCGCAAGGATCACGTCTGCAAGCTCGTCAAGTCTCTCTATGGCTTGAAGCAAGCGCCGCGCGCGTGGTTTCAGCGCTTCGCCACTTTCGCCGTCACCATTGGCTTCACTGCCTCTCGTTCTGACGCTTCGCTCTTCATACTACGGCGGGGCACTAGCGTGGCGTATCTCCTGCTATATGTTGACGACATTGTCTTGACGGCTTCTTGCCCGACACTGCTCCACGATCTCATTGCCAAACTCATGGTCGAGTTCGCAATGAAGGACTTGGGGCCCTTGCACTTCTTCCTCGGGATCCGTGTGCGTCGTACGTCTCGTGGCTTCTTCCTCAGCCAGGAGCAGTACGCCGAGGAGATCCTCCAGCGCGCCGGCATGTTGCAGTGTAAGACCGCCACCACACCTGTCGACACCCTTCCCAAGGTTGCCGCCGATGCTGGTGACCCGGTTGCCGATCCCTCCGAGTACCGAAGCCTCGCCGGTGCCCTTCAGTACTTGACCATGACGCGTCCTGATCTTGCATATGCCATGTAGCAAGTCTGCTTACACATGCACGATCCGCGTGACGGTCATCTCGCCATCATCAAACGTATTCTCCGATACGTCCGTGGCACTACGAGCTCCGGTCTCCTGCTCCACAGCTCCTCTCCACTCGACATCGTCGCTTACTCGGATGCAGACTGGGCAGGCTGCTCGGACACACGACGCTCTACCTCTGGTTACTGTGTTTATCTTGGCGGTGCTCTCGTGAGCTGGTCTTCCAAGCGCCAACCCACTGTCTCGCGCTCGAGCGCCGAGGCTGAGTATCGTGCTGTTGCCAATGCCGTTGCTGATTGTGTATGGCTAAGGAAACTTCTCGATGAGCTCGATTCACCTCCCTCCAAATCCACGGTGGTCTTTTGTGATAATATCTCAGCGGTGTACATGTCTACCAATCCAGTTCATCATCGACGAACGAAGCATATTGAGTTAGACATTCATTTTGTGCGCGAGAAGGTGTCTCTTGGCGAACTTCGGGTCGTTCATGTGCCTACTACTCAGCAGCTGGCTGATATCATGACCAAAGGACTTCCTACGGCGTCGTTTCAGTCATTCCGGTCCAGTCTATGCGTTTTGCCTAGCGCCAACGTATCGACTGCGGTGGGGTGTTAACGGATAGCCTAATTATTGTTTAGATATTGTTGATATCTCTAACAGATCTCGGCCTGATCTTGCTATTCTTCTTGTGCAAGACATGAGCTATTTGTAAGGCTATTTATAGCAACTATTCCAATCAATGAAATCAGTTGCCCCAAACCGAGATTACTCTTGCCGTTTGTAGTTTAGGCTCCTTCACCCAGTATCCATGAAGAGCTTGGGCACGGCCCTCGCGCATCTTGCCGTCGCTGGCGGGAGCTACCTCAACTCCGCCCTGCTCGGCACCGTCGCGTCTGCCACGGGGTGGATCTCGGACAATCTCGACCAAGGCCACCTGGACAACTTCTTCTGGTTCATGGCGGCTCTCAGCATGCTCAACCTGTTGCAGTTCGTTTACTGCTCCATCAGATACAAAAGCTAAAGAGGCCACCGAAATAATTGTTTGAAGGGGAAAAGGTGTGGCTGAATTGCTTAGGTGTACCCACCCACCCCAAGAACGTTTTCCTTTTTTATTTCCCCAAAAGAAATTTCAAGCTTTGCAGGTGAACAGTACATTTGAATTACAACATGCAAAAAAATGTTTTTTTATATGCAACATAAATACTACTCCACAATGCAGTGCGACACGCTTTCCAAGGGAGATGGAGGGAGTACTTAAAGTTATATTACTTGTATTAATCTCATTTAATATATTGATGCTGCACCAAAAAAATCTAAAATATTTCTTGTACATTGTAGTACTACTGTTTCAGAGATCCCCACAAATTAATTTTCAAGGACGGGAAGAGATGGGCGAACGGGCGACTGGGCGGGCGACCGGGGCCACGGCCGTGGCTGCGCCGCCCCTAGCCGCCGGTGATGGCCGGCGAGTTGGAAGCCGGTTCTGGGCTCTTGGGGATCCGGACGAGGAGGACACGGACGACGACGGGATGGGATCCTGGCGAGTTCTCCACCGACTCCGACTCCGACTTTGTCAGATCTCATACGTGAGTTTTTTAATTCAGGGTACGACGAAGATGAAGTGGCAACAACGAACGTTAGTGTTCTGCCACCTGATGATCCGGCAAGAATTGGATTGCACGCGGGAGAGAAGAAAGAAATGATTCGTCGCGTAGTTCACCGGAGAACGGCGGCGATGTCAATCAGACCATGGAAAGGTCCCCTCCCGAAGGTAAGTCTTCCAAATCTTACTCATTTCGATTTGATTAGGCCGCAATCGTGGATCACAGTTAAGAGAAGGAAGAATGCGCACCGACAAATCGCGTCTAGGGCGCCGACGGCGGCTGTGGCGTCATCGCCGGCATCTCAGGAGATCAGGATCGCCGTTCAGAGGGTGCTGCGTTTGAATTTCCTTTTGGGCCGCGAGCTGGGAGCGTGTGCAGTTGGGCCGACTTTGGGTGAGTTGGGCCAGAGCATAGACGGGCCAGGGTTAGCTAGGTATGTGGCCCAGGCTAACCCGACCGCTACTCCTTCTCGCTGCGATGCCCCATGCACTCGATCGATCGCTCCTTCTCTGGTTTTGCCGTCGTCTACTCGGGCTAGGGTTCCGAGGCGCGGCAAGTACGGGTTCCGAGCGTGTGGAACCAGTAGAGCTCGGCGCATCCCATCCGCCCCGGCTATGGCTGGCCGCGGGTCAGCCGCGCCGCCAGGCAAAGGCGCTGCCTCGGGTGGGACTGGCCGAGGTGGGGCGGCTTCGCTGCCAGGGTCCGGCCGCGCCACTACAGCGCTGCCAGCGGCTGGGACTGGGCGTGGGGGCGCGGTGCAGGAGTCGCCGCGGCCGCCGGCGCCGGCCGATGCAAACCTCGCCGCCATGGGTCGGGGTGGTGGAGCGAACAGCCTGAGGCCGCCGACTCCGGCTGCTGCTGCCACCTTGGGTCGGGGCGGGTCTGGCCTAGGTTCTTGGCCGTCGCTTCAGGGCCCGGGGATTGCTGGACGGGGAGCTCCGATCGGCCCGCGACCTACGCTGACGGCGGGGGTGTCGCCCGCGGTCGGGCGTGGTGGACCTCGGCCTCCCGCGCTGGCAGTCAGGCGTGCTGGACCTCGGCCTCCCGCGCCGGCTAATGCTACTATGGGGAGTGGCGTTGCTCCGCCGAGGCCAATGACACCAGCGGTTGTGGGGCGTGGTGTTGCTCCGCCGCAGCCTCATTGAGGGAGTCCTAGATTAGGGGGTGTCCGGATGGCCGGACTATACCTTCGGCCGGACTCCTGGACTATGAAGATACGAGATTGAAGACTTCGTCCCGTGTTCGGAAGGGACTTTCCTTGGCGTGGAAGGCAAGCTTGGCGATACAGATATGTAGATCTCCTACCATTGTAACCGACTCTGTGTAACCCTAGCCCTCTCCGGTGTCTATATAAACCGGAGAGTTTTAGTCCGTAGGACGAACAACAATCATACCATAGGCTAGCTTTTAGGGTTTAGCCTCTCTGATCTCATGGTAGATCTACTTTTGTACTACCCATATCATCAATATTAATCAAGCAGGACGTAGGGTTTTACCTCCATCAAGAGGGCCCGAACCTGGGTAAAACATCGTGTCTCCTGCCTCCTGTTACCATCCGACCTAGACGCACAGTTCGGGACCCCCTACCCGAGATCCGCCGGTTTTGACACCGACATTGGTGCTTTCATTGAGAGTTCCTCTATGTCGTCACTTTTAGGCCCGATGGCTTCTCCGATCATCAACAGCGATGCGATCCAGGGCGAGACTTTTCTCCCCGGACAGATCTTCGTATTCGGCGGCTTTGCACTGCGGGCCAATTCGCTTGGTCATCTGGAGCAGATCGAAAGCTACACCCCTGGCCATCAGGTCAGATTTGGAAGTTTGAACTACACGGCCGACATCCGCGGAGACTTGATCTTTGACGGATTCGAGCCACAGCCGAGCGCGCCGCACTGTCACGATGGGCATGATTTAGCTCTGCCGCCGAACAGTGCCCTGGAGGCCGCACCTGTGTCCGCTCCGACCCCTAGTTCGGAGCCGATCACACCAACCGAGGATGGGTGGTTAGACACCGCCTCGGGGGCTGCAATCTCTATGGCGATCGAGCCGAACACCAGCCCTATTCTCTGCGAAGCCCATGACTCCAAAGAGCCGGACTCCTCTCTAGACTCCGAGCCCTCCGCGCCCCGACCGATCAAACCCGAGTGGGCGCCGATCATGGAGTTCGCCGCCGCGGACATCTTTCAGCACTCGCCCTTCGGCGATATTTTGAATTCACTAAAGTCTCTCTCTTTGTCAGGAGAGCCCTGGCCGGACTATGGTCAGCAAGGTTGGGATGCGGATGATGAAGAAATTCAAAGCCCACCCACCACCCACTTTGTAGCCACTGTCGATGATTTAACCGACATGCTCGACTTCGACTCCGAAGACATCGACGGTATGGACGCCAGTGCAGGAGACGATCAAGAACCAACGCCTATAGGGCACTGGAAAGCCACCTCGTCGTATGATATCTACATGGTGGAAACCCCAAAAGAAGGCAATGGCGATGGAATAGCGGAGGATGACCCCTCCAAGAAGCAGCCTAAGCGCCGGCGTCAGCGGTGCCGCTCTAAATCCCGCCCAAACAAAAATGGTGATTCTGGCACGGGGGATAATAACACCCCGGACAGTGCCGAAGACAACCACCTCCAGCAAGATTCAGCACAGGAGGATAGAGAAGCCAGCCCTCATGAGAGAGCAGCAGACAGAGAGGTCGAGGACGATAATTATATGCCTCCCTCCGAAGATGAGGCAAGCCTCGACGATGACGAATTTGTCATGCCAGAGGATCCCGTTGAACAAGAGCGTTTCAAACGCAGGCTTATGGCCATGGCGAGCAGCCTCAAGAAAAACAGCAACAGCTTAGAGCTGATTAAGATTTGCTAGCCGACAGATGGACTGAAGTCCTTGCGGCCGAAGAGTATGAACTCGAACGCCCCTCCAAAAGCTACCCAAAGCGCATGTTGCTACCCCAATTAGAGGAGGAAGCACTTAAACCTACATCACCAGCACATGATGCGGCCGACCGGCCACCCCATGGCCGTGACAGAGAGGCCTCTCGGCCCTCCACTCAAGTCGCACCCCGGCGCCGCTCAAAAACTACCAAGGCAGGGGAAAATGCGCCAGACCTGCGAGATATATTGGAGGACAAGGCAAGGCAAACAAGATCGATCTACGGATCACGTGGGCGCCCCACAGCACAAGACGATACTCGTCACACTGGATACAGTAAATCTGGCCGGGCCGAACACAGTTGACAATGCTCGTTTGAGCTGCGTCGTGATGTAGCCCAATACAGAGGCGCCGCACACCCACTATGCTTCACAGATGAAGTAATGGATTATCAAATCCCTGGGGGTTTCAAACCCGTGAACATCGAATCATACGATGGCACAACAGATCCCGCGGTATGGATCGAGGATTATCTCCTCCATATCCACATGGCCCGCGGTGATGACCTACACGCCATCAAATACCTCCTACTCAAGCTTAAAGGACCAGCCCGACATTGGCTTAACAGCTCGCCAGCAGAATCAATTGGTTGTTGGGAGGACCTGGAAGCCGCATTCCTCGACAATTTCCAGGGCACTTATGTGCGACCACCAGACGCCGATGACCTAAGCCACATAATTCAGCAGCCAGAGGAATCGGCCAGACAATTCTGGACACAGTTCCTAACCAAGAAAAATCAAATCGTCGACTGTCCGGACGCAGAGGCCCTAGCAGCCTTCAAGCATAACATCCGCGACGAGTGGCTTGCACGGCACCTAGGACAGGAAAAGCCGAAATCTATGGCAGCCCTCACGACACTTATGACCCGCTTTTGCGCGGGAGAAGACAGCTGGCTAGCTCGCAGCAATAACATGACCAAGAGCCCTGGTAATTCGGATACCAAGGACAGTAGTGGCAGGTTGCGTCGCAACAAGCAAAAGCGCCGCATTAACGGCGACAATGCTGAGGATACGGCAGTTAATGCCGAATTCAAAGGCTCTAACCCCGGTCAGCGGAAAAAGCCATTCAAAAGAAATACTCCGGGCCCGTCCAGTTTGGACCGAATACTCGACCGCTCATGCCAGATACATGGCACCCCCGAAAAACCAGCCAATCACACCAACAGGGATTGTTGGGTGTTCAAGCAGGCAGGCAAGTTAAATGCCGAAAGCAGAGACAAGGGGCTGCATAGCGATGACGAGGAGGAGCCCCGGCCGCCGAACAACAGTGGACAGAAAGGTTTTCCCCCACAAGTGCGGACGGTGAACATGATATACGCAACCCACGCCCCCAAGAGGGAGCGGAAGCGTGTGCTAAGGGACGTATACGCGATGGAGCCAGTCGCCCCAAAGTTCAACCCATGGTCTTCCTGCCCGATCACTTTTGATCGAAGGTACCACCCCACTAGCATCCGTCATGTCGGATTCGACGCATTGGTTCTAGA